AAAAGAAAAGCTTACAGCTGCATGAGTCGTGACTGTCACGTTAGCCTGATGGGACCAACTCTACTTCTACTGTTAATAAGATTTTGGTAGGCTACTATTAGATGGATAGCCTAATGTCCTAATTCAGATGGGCTACCTTTTTTTTTTTTTTTAATGGTATATCAAAAAGGGTATTTTTTTTAAATGTGATTGTTGGTACATTTTACCATTTTTTACCATACTTTCAAAACAAAAATGAAAATAGGAAAAATATGCAATATGAAAATAATTGAAGACAAAATGTGTTTTACTGAGAAAAAACAAGATTTGGTTTTTAAAAAGCCTTTTTCCAAAAGGTACATTTGGAAAAAGGGGGGTCGTCTTATAATCAGGGTCGTCTTATATTCGGGCCAATATGGTATTATGCTCTATTCATTATTTTTTAGAAACCTTGCACTTTTCTACTCAGTTTTAAATGGTGTTCTTGTATTCAAATTAAGTGCGGTCCACTGCAGCGCATGTGCCGCGATATTGATACTGAGACAGCTGTCAAATCTCTGACAGCTGTCAGACATACATTTACATTTACATTACATTTAGTCATTTAGCAGACGCTTTTATCCAAAGTGACTTACAAATGAGGACAATAGAAGCAATCGAAACCAACAAAAGAGCAATAATATGCAAGTGCTATGACAAGTCTCGGTTATCCACGTAGCGAGGTTTTTATATATACCATGTATATATGTAAGCAATAATGTATGAGAGGTATCGATGTATCGAACACAGCACTAGTGGCCACGTCATAGGCGGGTGCCTGGAAGTATAAAAGGGCACCTGCTGAATACGTCACCAACCAAATTTTTGTGAAAGACCATGGCAGGTGAGCGTTGTAGAAAGTGTGTGCCTACCTACCCGAGGGCACTTGAGGACACACACGATCTATGCATCATGTGTCTTGCGTGTTCGGTGCTCGAGGGCTCATTGTGAGTGTTTCCAATAAGAAAGCTCAGTTCGCATTTGTTCCTCTTCTCGAGAGATGAGGGACAAGCGTCACGTGGTTCGGGTCATGCTGCTGAGGTGTAGACACGGATCGCGGGGTTCGCAGGTTGAGCTTGCAGAGAAGTTTGAGAAGGATATGAACATTTTGAAGGCTTCCGCTGCAAGCTCTAGTGCTCGGCGGGTTTCAGACGCTCTTTTTTAATGGTTATTGGAATCAGATAGTGCTATATCGAGTAGAACAGCGCCTTAGGGGGAATGTGTGCCTCCGGGTTTGGATTCTAACACTCAAGGGCATATTCTGCTTTTGTGTTGTTGTCTCGATGACGTGAAGAGCATGCGCGTTCAGTGTTACGCGTTCATTGTGATGAGTCACCATGTCTAGGCTCTGCTTGCGTTTGTTCCTATTCCCGAGGGATGCAGGGCAAAGTGTTTGTGTCTCATGGCCCTGTTCCGCTGTTGCCATGGCACAGTTTGTCTAAGCTCGTGGTGATTGCTTTGATCCGCACACCCTCTTTAACGGGTTGTCAGATGCCACAGACAGTATTTGGGTTGTTATGATGATGAAGTGTGAGCACAGAGTCGTTTCAGCCCTGATCTTGCAAGATTGCAGGCTGAGCTATATGCAGCTCGGCCGTGCCTCTCTAATATGCATGTTATTGTGTGTGGAGAGTCTCTCTGTGTGTGGATATATTTAAATGCTCTGTGGAGAGATGCTTGCGAGCTTTCTCTCCCAAGGTGTTTCCGTTGCCTGGAGTGGTTCTGGGGAATGTTCCTTCCTGTGTCAAGCCAGATGAGTTTAGGAGTGGTCTGCCTCCCAGGTTTCTGGGTATTTTTAATTAGGTGACCCTCTGAATCTTGCTTATTAAATTTGGGCTGAGTAGACTGTTCCCCCTCTTCAGGGTTTTAAGTGAACAACCCTTGCTCAGAGTGTAACTGCTTGCGGATAGTTATGCTCCAGCACAAACTTACTTTGCTCTGGATTATAGCGTTCTGAGGGCAGTTGTGTTCTAGCCTGGCTTCTTATGACTAGGCTGGGTTCCCCTTGGCACAAGCTCTAGACAGTGCTGTCTCCCCTCTTAGGGTTGTAAGTAGACAGGCCACTCTCTGTGGTCTGGGCAGTTTCAGTTGGTCCCCCTTCTGGTAGCCCCGTCCTAGGTACATGGTTATCTGAGGATAGCTATGCGCTAG